GGTGAGTGGGATAATCTTTAATATGCATATAATATAAATAAATATGTATGTTGATTATATGATGAGTACGATTAGTTAATCTCTTGAATATTTATATATTTTGCCTTATTTTCCGAGTACTCATCTATTCTTGAATTTGCACTCGTATTCTGTCGAGTTAAATTCTATTTGATATAATATACATTTCTTTGATGATTTTATAAATATCTATTATGCCTTGATACAGGACTTGTTAGTAACACCATGCTAACGGAAAGTAGTTAGCCTATGTGCACATAATATTTTGTATACCTAGCTAATGAGAGAGGCATCAACCTACGACGACTAATCATCCCACAGTGGTCACCTTCGGGTGTCATCTGGTCACTTTTGAGTGTAATCTGGTCACCTTCCAGTGTCATCTGGTCATCTTCGGGTGTCATCTGAGTCATCTGATCTTTGACATGTATTCCACTACGTTATAATAATATGATTAGTATCTATATGTATATGTATATCAATATAAATCATCTTGTAAACTATTAATATCTAAAATATATAAAATGTATATTAAATATTATTCCCTCATTGAGTTGGTTGAACTCACCCCTTATTTTTAATATTATTTTAGGTTCTTAGTTTCTGTTAGTAGGTGGATTTTGTTGAGTGTTCATGCTTCTTCAGTTTTGATCGGTAGGCCTTGCTTATTTTGTGAGGCTTTCCTTTTAGTTTTGATTCGATGTCTTAGACGTTAGACTATTACTTTGTTTTAATTAAGATTGGATTTTGACAATATAATGAGTATTATGGATTATTGTTTTTGTTTTAATTACTAATGAAGAGTTTTGAACTATTTTTTGGGTTCATCAGTTTTGAATAACATAATATTTCTGAAGATTAAAAATGCTGCGTATTTTTGAATAATTTGTTCTTTTGATATGTCCGTTTTGAGGCTTAGCATAGGTGGGATGTCCTTCCGACATCGCTCCTGCGTTGCCGGTCATGGATCCGGGATTCGGGTTGTGACAAAGGTGGTATCAGAGCCTGGTTTTGTTAAAATCTCATAATTTGTTTTTGTTAAAACCTTATAACCTTAGTCTTGTTAAAACGCTATAGCCTGATTTTGTTAAAACTCTGGAATCTAGTTTTGTTAAAATCCCTGTAATATATGGAGCTTAGGATCCTTCTTGTCTTGTTGTGATTCCTCTTTGTCATGTTTCTAACTGCTTTTATTGTTGTGTTGATATACATGTGAGGAAATATATATGCATGTGAATATTTGATATAAATATATCATAGGATATATTATATATAATATATGTGCTTGATAATATTTTTCTAGGTATGTTTATTTTGATTACTCTTTGAGCCGTGAAAGCCGATATCTTTTTATGATATTTGTATCCTATAAATATAGATTTTGAATGCATAAAAAAAAGTTGAAATATGATTAATTAGTTATAGATGACGAGACTGGTAGAAATATTTCTTATTAAGGTTGTACTATAGGCTATTAATTATGATTTATACGTTGATTAATATAGTTATTTAGAATTGGATAAATTAATGGTATAAAGATTGTATGTACAATTTATTATAGATTTACAATTATAAAATATTAGATTATGATATTTGATTAATAAAATTTATTTGCGAAGTTTTTCTTTGGATTACATATGATATTTGTGTAAGGGACTTACATAATTGTGATGGTTTGTGATGATCCTCTCAAACGTGTACTGGTACAACTTTAGGGTATGACACCCCTCTTTTCTTCACTAGTCTCAGCCCTAAGATTGGAGTTTTTCTTTTCTCTTTAAATGCTCATTCTTCTTTTATCTTGTTCATATCTTCGAGGTTATAGTTTTGAATCTTCATTTAGTGTTTTGTTTTCTTCCTCCTCAAATTCATTTGAATAATTCTTTTGGATACGTTCTGGTAGATATTTTTTATCTTTTATCTTGTTCATATCTTTGATGTTATAGTTTTGAATCTTCATTTAGTGTTCTGTTTTCTTCCCCCTTAAATTCATTTGAATAGTTCTTTTGCATATTTATATTGCATTTAACTTTCGAACCACAAGAATGATTTTAGTTGTTTCAATTATTTTCTTAATATGATTCTCTCCTATAACTAAACCAATTATTGCTACCTCTAGATGATTTTCTTTGATTTCAGTTTCTCTTGATGTAATGAAGTCTTTGTGACCATGAACTTCTAAAATAGATTTAAAGGCTTCTTTCCTTGTTTTATATTCTAGAGTCAGTAAATTTGATGCATTACATGGGTTTTTTTTTTCCTATTTGGACTTCATTTAGACTATCCTCTTGTATATCTGTATTGAGTACAACCCTAAATCCTGAGTTTTCAAACTCATTGGTTTCATCCTTATGCAAACATGTATCTCTTGTTATCTTTGGTGGACATCAATTTTATAGATCGATTGGTATTTACACTTGCACATAATCTTCAATATTCTTAATAATCATTTCAGTCCTACAATCCTTTTTCTTAGGAAAAAAAATGCCATTACAGGTGTCTGATTTTGCTCTCTAATTTTTGTTTTCAGATAGTTTGACTTGAAGTACCCTCGTCTTCTTTTAGTGCTTCAAACCTTGAGAATTAGTCATGGATACTAATTTTGTACCGTCCTTGATTTCTTCTTTAGTTTCATCACGAGTTCCATATTCTTCTTATAATACCTCATTTGAACTCTAATTTTATATATCTTTATTAGATTGAGGCTTTAATTTAGAGATGTCATGTTCCATACAATCATCCTCTTGCAAGGACACATCTTTTGTTCTCAAATAATCTTTCAGCAGCTCCACATTCTTTATTTTTCCTCCCTTCTTTTAATTGTTGTTGAAATTCTTTGCTCTTCTTTTATATGACTTCTAGAGAATTCTAGTCAATAACAACTTTATTTACTACTGCTTTAGCACCTAAAAATTCAACTATTTATGAGGATTTCTCATTTTCGTTTTTAATTCTTCTTATGGTTAGCTCTTCAATACCATGATCTTTGAATTCATAAATGACATCTGAAGTTTTTTCATTTTATTAGCATCATCTGTATCTATGTTTTCTTTGGCTACTTGCTTCTTTGTTATGTTTTTGTGATCATCAATTGGAATTTGAGATGTTATGTTTAAATAGGGTAGCTCAAGTTCTATGTTATCTCTGAAATATATTTTTTTTCTATTGATGTGCTTTTACTTTAATTCCAAGAAAAACACTATCATTTGAGATAATATTAGAAATCTTATAACGACTTTTCATTGCCCAGCTAAACTTCTTCCAAGCTAGTCCTTGTTATCTCTACCATAATTGTTGCCTTAATCTTGTCACAACAACTTTCTTCCTTCTTTATAATCTTTATAATTTCATCTTAATCTTTAGTTGTTATGATAGTTGAGTGAACTACCTACATCTTATTATCTTCATCATTTATTGCTTTTGCAAGCAATAACTCCTTTATGGTTGGTGCCTCTTGAAAGTCTAAGCTCATAATTATTGTCTGTTAATTAGACTTTATTACTTCATGACATTCCCCAACTATAAGTTTGGATTCTTTTACCTGATACTCAAAGAAGATAAAATTTACGAGGATGTGATTTGATTTAGGAAGAGATATGATTTGAGATAAGTTGTTTTAGAAATTTGATCTAAGAGAAATTTAAGGATGCGTTGTTTGATTTTGAGGGATATGAATTAAGAAAAGTTTTGCATGAGGTATATTTTTTTATTGGATATATCAGAGGGTGTAGCAGAAGCATAATGGTATTTATTGATTTTGAAGTGGACTTTAAATGATAGTTTAAGAAATGAAATTTTAGATATAAGTTTTGAATAATTTGTTTGATCATGATGGAAAGTCTTTTATTCTTAAATTTTAAATTCGAGGATGAATTTTGTTTAACAGGGGAAGTGTTGTAATACCCAAACTTAAACCCAACCTAAGTTAACCTAGGTATTTAAGGAAAGTTGCAATAGAAT